AGGGAAAAATGAGGACCTAATGCCGGGGGCTTAAGTGGAGAGGAAATGTTTTGAGAATGATGAGGGCAATGAATGTACAAACGTGCTTTACACAATTGATGTATGTATGGATTGTGATAAAAGTTGTATGAGCCCCTAATAAAATGATTTTTTTAAAAGGCGGGAAATAGCTTGATCATTGGGAGGCTACTTTACTTTTAAAAACATTTTTAAAGTTTTATTTTGCTTTGACAGCAATGTAAACATATAAAATAGCATTTGACCAGCAAAATCTCTTCCCTTTAGCTCATCAGTCCTCTCTTCTAATCCTTAGCCTGCTCTTTTCTGGATGCCTGTGCAGTTTACAGTCCAACATTTCTCTCCTTTGGTTCCTGAGCCGAACCTGAGTCTTCCACTTTGATGATTTTCTCCTGTAGTTTACTAGGGTATCTCTTTAACCAATTCTCAAGAAAAAATGCGTAGAAAATGTTTTCTCAATCCTTGTACCAGGAAAACCATCTCATTCACTCGGAAGTGTCAATTTGGGGCATAGAATAATAAACTCAAAACTATTCCCGTTATAATTTTAGAAGCATCCTCCACCATGTTCTAGCCACCAACCACGTCAGCAGCCCACAACACACACCTTGACTGGAAAAGGGTTTTCTCCTCTGTGCCTCTGTTTTTTGCTCATCATTACCTTTCTGGTAACTCTCTTAATCTTGCCTTTTCTTGTAGTGTGCCAGTGTCATGAGAAAGTACCTTCTATGTGTCTTCTCCAGGGTGTGGCGCTTTTCCTTCACCTGTGGGAAATTGTATTTAATTTCTTTGATCACTTTCTTTCTTGGTTAATTATTTGTTTTTTCTTCTGGGGGCACATATCATATTAAGATATTAAGCCATTTGGAGTAATATATTTCTCTCCTTCGTGCTCTTTTTCTTTTTTACACCATTTTCTCTGTGTCTCCTATCTCTACGACAGGAGGTGTCATCAATTTCACCATATAGCGCTTCTATCAAATGATGTTTTACCTACACTTCTCTTTGTTCAATTTCCAAAGCCTCCTTTTTTCCTAATAGCTCATTTAAAAAATATTCTCTGCTTGTTATATGAGTATAATAACATAAATTTCCCTAAACATAGAAATCAGAGCTCTTAATGTTCTTTATTTTTTCTGAATTGTCTCTGCGGGCTCTGGGTCGTGGTAATTTCGATCTTTCACTTTCATGCTGTTGATTGCCCTTGCATGTGTAATGAGCTCTAAATGTCCTTTTATATATTTTTTTAAGAATGAATGAATAGGCTGCTGATTCAAGGAAGCTGGTGTGGTTTCCTTTGCTGTTGGATTTATATGGCTTGTTTTTTTAAAGGAAAGGCAGACAGGCGTGTGAATCATTGAACAGAGCTTGTTAAAGGGCAGGGATATGGGCATGTCTGGCGGTGGGGAGCTGGGGCAGCAAAATAAACAGGGTTTATCAGGACAGAAAATCTACTTCATGGAACAGCAGCTCTTCCTCAGCAATGTGTGCAATGGCTTGAGAGAACGCCCTTTGCTGGATCATTTCCCTGCTAGTAGCTGAAGCTGCTCGTCCTTCAGCCCACAGGAATGTGTGCATGTGAAGGCAATGGCCACGACAGCAGTTCCAGAGAAAAACCTTCACTGGTCTTGCTTTGCACTCCACTTTGAGTTCAGTGT